CGTATGTTGCTAAGCCGTGTTTGCCGAGAGCCGCCAACTCATCTGCTTTCCGGACGTGTCGTACCGATGGTGACCTTGGGGATGCGTCAGTCTCTGCATATGTGCTTTTTTTCCTGTCTGGGCGCGTCCTGATAATCAGGCGCCTAACATCGCTAACCTTATGAAATGTTTTGAAACTGTAGTACAATGTAAATTTCAAAGAGGGAGTTTCGCTCTATGAAACTGTCCAGGAAATGGATCAAAAGAAAATAGCTAGCAGTAATTCATGGAGTAGAGCTAGAAAACAGGTTTACCGAGATGCTGCAGGAGGCTCTAGGACTCCCATCGAATCTCAAATACAAGGGCTGGATAGGCATTTTCACAAGTAATCTGCATGTAAGCGATTCCCATTGAATAATATCCCGGCTAATTTAGAATTTGTTTCTTGGTAATGCCGATTATTAAGTGACAAAAAAATTTTACCCACTTCACGAACTGTGCAACAAGATACCTCGTTAATCACTGATGGTTTTATGATCTCTTGCCACTGTTATCGAATTGTTGGTCACTCACAATAAAACACACTCTCACGGAATGCTGGGAAAATCTTTAGCGGCTGTTTGCTACGACAAGTAATTACATTTTCTCGTTTTCGATTGATGTGCCAAGAGTACTGGCTAACGTCATTCAGTGTTCTTTTCTTTCAGTCAAACTGATAACTTCATCATAGCTTGTCATAATTTAGTTTCAGGTCGTGTATGACGGTTTATTCAAACTTTTTCAAATAGTTCACAAGAAAAATCATTTTAGCACCTATACACAATAGTCATTTCTGAAGTGCAGATTTCAGGCAAAGATATATTAGATGTCAACTTGTGTTGGAAACGTATTTCCCGAAATTTCGCCCCTAGCCACTTTTCTCTCAAACTGAGCTGAACCACAAACATCGTTAGTAATGGTGTAACTTTGTGCAAGGTCTATAATCACACCACCCTGTCTGTCTCGCTTCAACATTTTTTGAACTTTTAGATGGGGGAACACTCTTGCAACCATTCCATACCAGTGACATGATAGGTATGATGAGACAAAAGTAGAATCCCTCTGGTTTCTAACTTTGTGTATTGAATTCATTCCCATAATAACAAAATGGAATACACTTGAATTTATTTAAATCAGTGTTCTATATAGGATTTTCCCTGCCATCTTCGTTGTTTGCCCCCCGTGCTTATTGAACCCTAGTTCATCTCTGGTTGACTATTGCATGACGCACATAGGAATAAATTATCTTTGGACGTAATACATCACTCATAAGGTTGCAGAAAACTCTTTGGACAGCCCACAACTGGTTTTGTGCTTCTTGGTCTTTATCAGTGCAGTCCCCGAGTTTCCATCCACCTTATGTTCTAACTGAACCAGAATTGCACGAAATTAGAGAACTACACTTGTCTGCAAACCAAATTGGTTTTACGGGAGACAACCGAAACCCAGCTGAATCTCATGATGTTTTCAAGCACTGGAATGTACTGCATCAGGCCGTCTTATTTTTCAGTCGGTACGATATTTTGGATATCGTGATACATGTACAGACGAAATACACTACCCATAATGTTGCTGATAACTCTTCGACAGTCCACATTCAGTCGCTGAAAAACATCATAAACGAAGAATTCTGCTGGGTCTTGGTTGATTCTCCCGCAAAACGAAATTGATTTTCAAATAAGTAGAACAGGGAATTGAAAATAAATGGCAATATTTTTCCAATCACATGTTTATAGTAAAATCTGAAATACTTCGTAACATGCTAAGTTGGATGTCGCGAAATTTGGCAAGAATATCTCAACCGATTGACTGTTATATTTAGGTAACAGTTTTAAAATATAAGTGGACGGTTTCGTCGTTGCAACAGGGGAAAATTGCATTTCAAATTGGTTCCCATGACAAAGTGATTGCCATAAAACAAAATATTCTGGGTGATACAAGTACGGTTGAATCATGAGTGCGAGATCAAAGGTTTTAGTTTTTCCTTGAAATAAGTCTAACTTCGCCTGCAGAACTGCATAAACTTCTGTATGTTGTCGTCATCTGCTAGAACACTCGACGGCTTCCGAAAACTTGAGCTGTCCACTGCATTCGGAGTAGGTATCGTCGTCGACCTGACTTTTGGACTTTTTCTCGGTGAAAAAGCGGGCATTATTGATGCGGCAGTTTATTTGTTCGTCGGAAACTTCCTCGGTTTACAGAATAGTGTTTTGCATGCACACGCAACGGCACCGTTAAACTTAGCGTTTTCGTTGCTTTGATTGATTGATTGATTGGTTGATTGATTGATTGATTGATTGATTGATTGATTGATTGATTGATTGATTGATTGATTGATTGATTGATTGATTGATTGATTGATTGTGGTTGGTTGGTTGGTTGGTTGGTTGGTTGGTTGGTTGGTTGGTTGGTTGGTTGGTTGGTTGGTTGGTTGGTTGGTTGGTTGGTTGGTTGGTTGTTTATGCATCGTTACTGTGCATGTTGTGGTTGCGTCTGTTCTCAAGCATTTGAGTTGCAGTGTTATGGAGGAACTTTGTTTTTAATGTTTACCCTTGTTCATGTTGTCATCACAACAATTGTGAGGCACATTACACTACTGCGCGTGTTGTTTCGTTCAATGCCCATCCAAAAATTTCGCCCCTCTGCGAAGTTTCCATTTAATGCGCAAATGTCGAACGTCCTCAATTTCGGCCGACTCATTACCTCTAAACTTGTGGTATTTTTCTTGATTATATCCCTGGATACAATTATAATGCTCTATTATTTATTGGCATTTCCCCGTTTATCTATAAGTGACCCGATCGCTTTGTTAAATTCTTCTCAGGAAATCTCCTGTGTATGGTTTGGGTGAATGTGATGGCGTTGTTAAGTCTTCCGGATGAAGTTTCCATTTAATGCGCAAATGTCGAACGTCCTCAATTTCGGCCGACTCATTACCTCTAAACTTGTGGTATTTTTCTTGATTATATCCCTGGATACAATTATAATGCTCTATTATTTATTGGCATTTCCCCGTTTATCTATAAGTGACCCGATCGCTTTGTTAAATTCTTCTCAGGAAATCTCCTGTGTATGGTTTGGGTGAATGTGATGGCGTTGTTACGCTCCTCCGGATAAAGCACCCATTAGTGTATTTATGCTTGTCAGTGCAAAACTGCGCTGCTAAACATGCGGTTTATCTCTGAGTTCCGATTTTTTTTATTAGAGCACTTGACATACCCCCAAGGGAGGCAGTCCGTTCGGCCGACTTTTATCTATTATGGTTCGCAGTATGCTTTGCGGTGGTACCAATCACCAACGTGTCCTCACTATATAAAGTAAGTATAATTGGTTTGTGGTTTCCATGACTTTTTGCACCTCAGTGCAGTACTCCGTGAAAAACCCATATTCTCCTTTATACAACGGTCTCAAAATAAACATTCATCTCGAACGGCCTTGAAGATCACTCTATTTTAGAGTTTGACAGGGAAGTACTAAATACTAGTAGTTGATTTGAAATTCCAGGATGCGTTAGGCAAATTGAGAGTTGTAATAACACACAAACCAAAGATTCTCCATTTAAGAAACCCCGACACTATTTTCTATCTTATAAAAGCCCTCTTGGTAACGGGTGGCTTGTTTTTAAGAACAAATTAGAATATCCATTTGTTTACCATAGATGCTGATCTTTTCTCCCTACTAAACCTCAGACGAGGGCAGTGAGTGATTTCGCAGCTCTCTTTGCCTCACAAATTACAAGTGTAAGTTTGGTACACCACAATTAGAAAGGCATGCTTACGTGCCGAATGATTTTGAGCATTCTCAGTCATCGCATAGTGAGATGAAAATGCAAAAAAACGGCATCTTTAACAAGATTCTGATTGCATCATATGTAACGTGACTGAGCGCCATAGCGATCGGATTGTGAGTTGCCATTGAGACATGATTACCAGGTGGATTTGACGGCTCAACTGATTTGCTGATTACGCATCAACTCTTGTTTTGTCAATGTGACCAAAGTGCAGATCGTCCACATATTCAACTTATTTCAGCTTCGTAATTGTTGTCTGAGAAACTGGAAACAATATTAAGACGATCCAGTCGCATATTTACGGTAAGATTCTACACCCTACAAAAGTGTGGCACAAATCAACGAGAATACGGTTGCTAACCGACTCACCAGGCAATCTGATTCATCTGACTTTAGGCACAAAAATTCGCGATTGCAGAATGACGAAGTAATATCTACCCGGTTGATTGCGGTGATTTGCGCATCAGAACTTTTCCCGCTACATGTGATGACGGGACAAATGTGTTCATACCCGGGGAAAATGCGAACACACCCACATACGAGCCTTCATCACTAGAATAGCCGGTATACATTTGCTGAGAACGGAAACCAAAAGCTTATTCTAACTTTGGCACGAGACATTGAAATTGGGTCACTTACTTACGAAATCATGGTTCAACTCACTGGCCCCGAGTAATTACCCAGAGCAAAATCTAGTTAGGACACCCCGTGATCACTCGTCTGAAATTACATCGGATGATAAATTTTATCAAACAAATTCCAACACTTATAAGACCAGGTTTTTCAGACCGTATTAGGATATTCTCCCGTGTGGATCGGGAATTAGGCCCAGTATCTTGTTCTGGGGTCCAGTGTAGTAATAAATCCTCTTAGGATGGATGCCTTGTTCTGAAGTATCTCGTCCACATTCCGACATCAGATCGCATGAATTCATCTCAGATATTCAAAATGGTTCGCAGAACACAAACCAGAGTCCTTTGCAGCTGTGTACATATTTATGAAAGCCCAAATATACGGACATGAGAATAGTATTGATAAAAACTTGCGGTATGAATTCGTATTCTTGTAAGAAATAGTCCGTCCTAGCCAACTGAAAAACAACATCCCGAAACTCTTGTGTTACTTGTTGGACATACATTTCTATCATATCGACACAGCATCCGTCCAACGGGTGTTTATAACTGATTTGCAGGTAGCTGGCATCAAATACATTCGTGACGATCTGTTTCTGGCTGGCGTTGCAATGGCTGCTTCTTTGTGTAACTCAGGTGGTCGCGTTGTGTGGGGTTGTATATGTGACCGTTTGTCATTCAAGGTAGGTCAAATGTTTATCTTTTGTTATGCGGTGAGCTTCTATAGATGGTGGCTTACAGGATGGTTTTGTTCATCTTAAGTCCGCTTTTCATAAAAACCGTTTCGCTCATATTCTGCCAGTGAAAATAGTTTATCTAAGTCACTTGTGTGGTTTCGAATCGGAGTTATTCAAATGTAAATCTGTATGCAGTAAACTAAAGGTTTACTTAAGGTATACTAACCATCACTACTAGTAATATAAACAACCTCTGCTTGCCTGTTGCTGCTTTTTTCAACAAGCGCGCAAGAAAAAATCCCTGAATGTCCTGCTTAAAATAAGTATAGTAATGCCATGTTCGAAAATAACACAAATTTCACTTTCAGATTTACTCGTTTTGTCACAAATAGAATCTTCTGACTGTTCCGCCACGACTTTGGTTCAACAGTATTGACCCTAAAAACTTCTGAGCTATGAAATAAAGAAGTTACTCGCAACTTATTCTATTTTATACATATTTTATATGTTTATTTATATTTAGTTACCACATATTAGTTGACCAAACACAGGTAAATTCATCTGACACAATAAGCTAGACTGTAAAAGAGTTGAAATTTATTTCCGTAGTTTGGTCTAACCTAACGTAACCCTCTTTGGACGATTGTATCTAAGATGTGGCAGAATTCTTTCCCACCAGAGACATCACGTGCGTGTGTTTTACGAAAAGCTTACAATTTGAGATTAGATAGGACCAAAGTCGACCGCGCACTGTTGAACATTCTTTAGCAAGCCTATGAGTACTATGTTCCGTCTCGGTCAACTGATATTCTTCTGTACCCCTGAATTCTCTGGCAATTTAAACCCTTTTACAACTTAAATCAACTTACTCCCGGACGATCATACTCAATGCACGTTTTTCTGAACAGAAAGTCTGGGTCTCGCTTTGTTTGATAACAATTCCTCTCCACTTGATTGTATTTTCAAGCATATGCTAACGTTGATGGTAGTGCACATATTACCATATATTTATCCGACTATCGGAATCAAACTCACTGACAATAGCAGTCTATACCAGACTGGTACCAGCCCTGCAGTTACTTGGTTCGTTCTGACCCTGGTCTTGCTTGCTTTGAGTACTACCTAGGGCTGTCAGGTCGCTAGTATTTTTACGCACCGGTGAAGTGAATCACCGTTAGAATCATGGTTTAGATTTTAGGAGTTTCGTGCAACTCTGACGGACGAAATCCTTTAAATCCTTTTCATCCTAAATGACATGAATCCTGGAGAGGAATCTCAAAGCCAGTATAACTGCTGAATCCTAACTCTCACCACTTACATGTCTGCGCTAGGTTTCTTATTCACTTGAGTTGCCGTATCGCCTGTAACAGAAAGAAATATTATGGTGCCTTTGAGTACTGCCATCCAGGGGAATGTGTGAGTTTTACTGGTATGGACAATTCTAAACAAACACTCCGAAAATTATTTGAATCGTGTGAATTTTAAAATCGCCTTCCATTTGGAAACGTATCATATCAACGAATAAAATGTTTGTCGTTCGTCGACAGGTAGGCATATATTAGTCCATATGGAATGACCGTATAGGTTTTCTATCGTTACGTTCTCCTTTTTTGCATCCTATAACTCATTGACGCAAAAGTTTGATTTGTCTGCTACATAAATCGTCACAAATGTTCAATTTTCTGAGACTGGGCCACACTGAATCGCAGTTCAACAGATAGTGGTCATATAATTTGAGTGTTGGATGAAGACATTTGTTGAAAACATTGCGGTCAGTTGACAAGTTGAACCTGGCGAGCTAACGACGGCAAAGCGAACTTTGATTACTAACTTGTGAAAACGGTGCAAGCCTACTCGATAATTCTTTCCTTTCACATGAAGTCCAATCTCATAGAACCAACTCGAGCTTAGGTGTACCGTGTGGTTGACATTTGAACCGGTCTGTCGGTTAGTGGAATTGAGCTGCCGGAGGCCTACTCAAAGCTGCTTAGCTATAAACCGTCTGTGTGCGTTCGAAGGTTGTGACACTGTTGCCGATTCGAAACCAAGGAAGTTCGGCAAACAAACACGCGAAAATCTGTTGTGGCTGCACATTCGGGATGATGTGATAGTGCACAGCAGTGTACGTTTTTTAACTTGTAGGAGCTAGTGTTATTCTTTGCCGACTCTAATTTGTAGCGCAAGAATGCACTTTTTTGATAGGTCACGGTGACGATGTCTTCTGATAAGTATCCATTACTGCACCACCTGCATTGGATCACATAGTCAGTAGCCAAGCTATTGGTTAGAGGACAAATGATACTATTTTCTCCTAGTGCAAGGTTCAACAAACTTGCTAATGCAACCCACTGGTACTGTTATGGTGAATTATGATCTGTATACTGCTGGTCAGCAAGTCCGATTGTACTTCAGTATATATGCCCTCAAGTTACATGAATCCATCAGGAAAGTTGGTCAAACGCAATATTCTAGAACCATCCTATGCACCGTTTGAACTATAATCCTCGAAGTTACTCCATCAACCGTGATAGAGCAAATATAGTAATGCAGTTTATAGTGACAAACGTTGAGCGATTAAATTATGTCCACGAACACGCCTATGATTCGTATAGTCTTGTAAACTTGTGGAACTTAACAGTATAAGCAGCTGTTCATCGAGCACTTGTGACCTGCAATTCATGTTGCACGGTTAGTTTTCAAATGGCCACCGCATCGGTATAGGTGCGGAAGTGAGATTAAGTCGGACGGTGCATCCTGTCTATTTTTCGGATAACAGGATGCAATGGATTTTATTTGACTCACACAGTCAACCTCATCGGTGAAACTATTACGTTCACTTACGTGGGGAAGCTAAGCCGCTTTGTCAAAATTTTGATCATGCAAAACGTCTAAATTAACGTTGTGTATATTGTGACGTCACTATCTTGACGGTACACATCGTGATACGTCGGACATTTACGCCCCATCGCGTTGGTTATTTTATAATGTTGCTGGTACCGTATTAAGAACCCATTTTTCGTCTGTTCGACCTGATAATTACGACCGCGTTACCAGCACCAAAATGTACTCAGATCTCTTAGTAAGAAAGGCCGTTTTGTAGATCAAGCAAGCTTCGTCTCTTTTTCGCAATCAACATTTCACTTCCACCGCCATCGTTATACATAGACAGCTAAGGAATGTAGTCGTGGTGAAACTAGACTGCACAACACTAATCCCATTTACCTTTTACGAAGCCAGATAATTATGATCTTTGAGCTTCAAATGTTACCCAATATCATACTCGTCTGGTTCATCTTCAGTGGAATTGCTGAGGGATCAAACTGATCCCAGGCTGCTATATTTAATTAGGCTTGTACGCCACATAACACTTGCGCTTAGGATAGCGATCACATATACGTGTCCACAATCGAATGGGAACACCCAGTACTCAAAGTCTTGATAAACCTTGTAGTGGCATTCACCGGTGTCCAGCAGTATCAGGCTACAACTATTTTGAGACGTCACTACTGGGGGTGCCGTAACTTAGAAGGCTTCAGGTAATCAACCATCACTATCTCTGAACCATGGTTCATGTAAGCTGGTGCCGATGGATCCGAAACGAGGCACTGGGGAAAAGTGTTGTGCTGTGTAATGGAGACGTCCACCGGTCCCGAAAGCAGCAGTGGTTAGGCTGTGCAATACGCATCTCGAATCAACAGTTACTGAGAGAGAGCCGTTTTAGATTCCCGATTCAGTAAGCACAAGCAGAGGGTTGGTCAACATCTGACCTGGTAAACAGGTTTGAAAAGTAGTTCGAAACGTCTGGGTACTGGTTACTGGGTAAGAATGGCCAAACTATTAGGATAAATCCGAGTGGTGCCCTGTAGGATATGGGATTGCTGTTGTCAGCTTCTTTCCGGAGTGTCTGAATGGGTGTCTTCGGATGTGAGCACCTTGGAAGGATTGTGTCGGACTAAGACTAAGACCCTTTCCACCCGATTTAACCCATTTCTTCACAATATGTCTTTCAGTTGAATTATTGTTATACGGCAGCAAAGAATCATCTTTGGACGTTAGATTTGTGCTGTTTTAATGATGGTGATAGTACTGAGCTTTAAAATTTGCTATCAAGCTTCCAAGGGGCCGATAAAATTCACTGGGAAAGTCTTGGAAGGTAGAAATACATGAGAATGCCGCCTGATAGCAGGTATAATTGGCTGAATTTTATTTGGTCAGACATCTCTCCACATGATTATTTGGAAAGCTGAAATAGACACACCCGTACAGGGTACCGTAGTTTTGTCCGGTACTGAATGGTAGCGAGTGCCTTTTAAGCTGTTCTAAATTTCAGTGCTTATATATTCTCCAATTCGGTGAGTATACTCTTGCTTCCGAGAGATGACTACCGTGGAACACGAAAGTCGTTCATTAAACTGGGGACAGTTTGGAACTGACCCACATGTAATCGTTTTGGAAGGCTTTCAAAACGATGAATTGATTTATATTTGGGAGAAATTTTCCTTTTGAAACGAAAACTTCATCAAGCCCAGTGATTGGGTTACCAGTTTTGGTGAGTTTTTAGTCAAATGGAGAAACAGTAAACAAGATCTCTTTTGGTTGAAAGATGTTGTCGCTGTGGATAGCAACGTCCAATGGGCTCCCAGGGTGGAGGAATATTGTGTTTGCGCAGTCCCACAACCTATGCTAAACCTTTTTGTTTTATCCACTTAGTTCAAGAAATGGATCCCTCTACCTGAAAGAGGATAAGTATAATTAATATACATGGTACGCTATATCTTTGATATGCCGCCGGTTTCGCTTCGGCCTCCCTTCGAATCCAGGGTCGGTTGATACACTAAATAGGGCAATTTCGAGAGGTGGCTATAGTGTCCGTCAAAATGGCAGAAAAACGATGATACTTTGACATGATTTCCTTAGGTGGGTCTTTCTACTGAGTACAGCATTAGTTGTAGTTGAGAAAAACGAATCGACACGGCATGCTCAACCAAAGCCTAAAAACTGTATTTTGGGAAGTATTTGGAAGCTCCTCAAATGTCCCTCTCCATGGCAAATGCAAACCACGCTTCTGATCACACTGATATGGTCGGAATATAAGGAAATAACTATTGGGTTAACTAACCTGATTTAATTTGCCGAAGATAGAGATCGAATGGAAGTAAATTTTGCGTGAATTTGTGAACAAGTATAGTAATCTCTTCAAGGGCACTCATTTGCATACTGATATGGTTTTCACAGGGAAATTACCTGGATCCCGACCGAACCTCTTGTTCATGGTATTTCTCAGATAAATTTAGTTCCAAAAGGTCCCGTTGTGTTTCAGCTGGCACGATATTCGGGATGTTGCAGTATATGTTATAATGTCTACATGCTCAACCAAAGCCTAAAAACTGTATTTTGGGAAGTATTTGGAAGCTCCTCAAATGTCCCTCTCCATGGCAAATGCAAACCACGCTTCTGATCACACTGATATGGTCGGAATATAAGGAAATAACTATTGGGTTAACTAACCTGATTTAATTTGCCGAAGATAGAGATCGAATGGAAGTAAATTTTGCGTGAATTTGTGAACAAGTATAGTAATCTCTTCAAGGGCACTCATTTGCATACTGATATGGTTTTCACAGGGAAATTACCTGGATCCCGACCGAACCTCTTGTTCATGGTATTTCTCAGATAAATTTAGTTCCAAAAGGTCCCGTTGTGTTTCAGCTGGCACGATATTCGGGATGTTGCAGTATATGTTTATAATGTCTAATAATGACAGACGATCCTGCAAAATACCTACAAGTTACGTTCTATGTGTGTCCTGCCTGATCTAATGACACGCTGTATGATTTTGTGGATTGGCAACCCTAGACACACAGAATTCATACTACAAAATTCAATAACCTGATCTAATCCTGTAATAGAGAGGCAGTTGAAGCAGAACTAAATAGCCGTTGGAATAACCTTGCACTGTACTATCTTGTCATTGTTATTTTTTTCAAAACTAAACATTTATTTACTGTTTCACCTAACCGGGATAAGTCAGGCGTAATACTTAACTGGTACTATTCACATTAGCATATGAGTTATTTTATCACGTGTTTTGTAAACATACGTTATCCGTATTATGCAGAATTAATGACTCATGTGGTTACTCTAAGTATCTCGCCAGAGCAATTTTCCATATACAAAGTTTCTGTTCTATGATTCGAGTAAGTATCAGGAATAATAATAAAACTACAGGTGAACTGTACCAGGTAAGTGCTTTCGCTCAGTTACCGCCCTCAAATCCACGTTAGAGCGTAAGTAGCGTAAAATTTACAAATCACGATCTGACCACTAATGCGTGGTGCCGTTTTTTGGAGAGTTCCATCAAGTAGGTCAAAGTGATGATCCCACCACTGAGTCAACACTGTGCATGTCAAATAAAATCAGCCTTCTTACATTTTGTGTCTGAATTGGCACAGAACCACAAGTAGCCAACATAAAAATTACGTATGTACATACATATGTATACATATGTATGTATGTATAGGCAAATGAGTTTGGTGCCCCAAGGTTGTAGCGTTCCTTCACCGTCCTATTAGGCATCTAAAACTTGATCTTCTCACTTGATATATACGTGTTTCTTTGGGTTCTTCTATAACGAATGAATTCTTCCTAGGTACAGGTCAAACTCAGTCGCAGCATTTGTACATTCCTGAACTTGTACTAACGTATGGCTGGTATTGTTTCGCCTGTGAACCACCCAGTATCCTTCCACGATGTAAGTGATCTTGCCTTGAGATCTCCTATATTCCTTAAAATTAGGTGACACGTACGAATTCTAGATAATTTACAGTGCCTTCTCTTTATACATTTGGAGAATTGTCCTCTTCAGCCGGCAAGTTCACAAATGCAATGTCTGTTAAAGTTTTGATAATTTCAGTGCATCAAAATCAAAATCTTGCTGTCACTTGTAACAAATTTTCGGCAATCATTTTTGCAGCTTTTTCAATGTGAATCCAGCTCATCCGCGGTGTGTCACAGATTTCCTAGCGCTGCATCATTTATTTATACCATAACAACACCAGATGAGTTTTGTAGCTCCTAAACGCGCTTCATCCGAGGTGGTGCGCTTGTTTCAAGCTAGAAGGCAATTACATGGGAAGTCAGACGATGAAGTTGGCAGGTTGTTGCCTCACTGAGAACCCGTGCTTTCCTCCATAGACACAAATAAAGCTTTCTTATCTCTTAACTCGCAATATCTTAATTTCACCTTGGCTAGCCTTGTTGTTTTTACCATGTTTACTTGGACGTCGCATTTAGTTTAATGTCCTTTTCTGAGATCATTTCTCGTGCGAACCCCCTAATTTATTGGAAAGTGTGTGAAAAATTAAAATTCCGTAATTCCATAGGACCCCGTATTTGTCAACAGGAAGTTGGACTATGGGGATTTTACTTGGATTCTCGTCACTGATTTACCTGGCCGCAGTGAAATACCTAATGCAGCAGGGAGCCTTTGCTCTACTACTGATGACTGGAGTGTTATTGTTTATTTGGGTACCAGTAAACTTTGTCCATTCCAGTTCTTGTTCTTCTAGGATAGTGTGTAAAAATCTATTGGCCCGGCCTAATCCAAACCGGTAACTTAAGAGTCACAGAATTATTACCTGTTATCGTCGAACTTGGATTCCATATTTTCCCAGTTATTTAACGCAGTCTTCCCGGATTTATGATATTTCCAGGTACCCATGTGTTCCATGATCATCGTCTGGACAACCATGCTGTTCACATTTCCGCATATTTCGATATTTAGTGGTGTTAGTGCGAAGATTTTCTACACCATATGGGTATCAATGCTGTACTTTTGTCAGTGTGGTATATTTGTATTTGCTCCAACGGCGACAGAGATTTTATTTGGCCCGGTTCACCTCGCCGTCAACTATGGACTTATCTACAATGCCTTCGTGAGTGATGTTTGATATATTCTATTTCTTCATCCAGTTTAACTATGTGATAGCGTATCTGGCAATGTATATCACCATATATTACGCCCTACCACATATATCACATATTATGAAATTAGGTGTCTGTTATATCTGCTGATTCGTCAATCTGAGGTAACTGCTGCTGACCCGCTCAAGCGCCTAGTTGCCGAAAAAAAGCCTCACGGAATGGAACACAACAGCTGTATTCCGAACAATCGAGTGCTAGAGCGTGAGTGCATGCGAGTGCCAATGTACAATGGTCTCAAGTTATTTATTGGAGGGACTCGGTCCAATGCTGACGTACACGGTCTGGCTGCAACTTGCTGCATTTGCGGGGGCGTTGTCTGACCTTGATCAACGCTGGCTCGCGCTGTCTGGGTATGATACAAGGCTGTGACGCGCTGCATATTGAGGGTGTGTTGTCTCTCTGGTCAGCATCTAGCGCAGCTGAGAGTCTCGGTAGATTTCGGACGTTCAGTGATTGCTTTCAGGAAGCTGACCTTCCTGATAATGTAATATTCCTTTAACCCTGTGTGCCGCCTTTATCCTGATTGTCATTAGACATCCCCTTGGAACCTGATGTCTAATATCCGACCATTGAAAATAAACGCTTCAATCTAAACGTGTGATATTTGGCTTACCTTGAATCCTCCGAATTCCAGGAGCTTTCAGAGAGGAGGTCCCGTTGCAGATTGCACATATAGGTCATTACTTGAAGCGCCTCATGCCAAATGTACAGCAAACAAGCCAAAGCAGTCTCGGAAAACAGCTTATACCAGTATAGCCCAGACCTTGAACACTCGTCTTTTGACTGGCCACGGTTTTTCGACGTGTGATTCTGTCCATACAATGACCAAAGCCAGGCTGCGCGGTTCAGGGAACTGCATTTTCGAGAATTACCCAGGAAAAATTTCAAAATGCTCCACATAGTACTTTCAGTTTTGGAGAGTTAGAGCTTTACAAAATACTTTGTGTGCAGTTATCCTTGATAATAGCCAAACACTTCTGAACAAAGGTATAACGGCTTTGTTTGTGAAGTATAACCCAGATTCCGGACATTTGGCACTCCTTGTGGGATTGAAAGCAGGCTGAATTAGGATTTGTTTTCATTGTTTACTCTGGTAATTTGGATAGTCTGATTTGCTATGTGAAATTATGCCAAGCCCCTATATAGTGTTTGAATACACTTCGGGAATACTAAAGCCCCTAATTAAAAATTCATCGGTTTTCGTCAAATATGTAACAGTGATAACTGGCTTGCCAAGTCCAGCGCTAACAGTTAGTGTGCACAACGAAACTACTCAAGTGTTCCAAACGAGTGAATATTTAGTTCACATGATTATCTGAGCAACATGTCGCTTCGAGTTCGGCATCAGAGGGTAGTTTATAAGTATAAAACACCTCTCTTAAATGGACGAATTTACTAAACGATACTATGGACCCATCGTCAAAAGGTATATTGTTTTTTATACCGGTGCAGTCTTTGCAATCAACCGTCGCACACGAATACAACTACCCTCGTCAATGGACATTATTTATTTGATAGAAAATATGTTGTCGTGGATATTTACTCATCTAATAACTCGTTTAGAATAATTGATTTTGGGACACTCCACTGGTGAACAGCTTTACAGATGAGGTGAAATAAAAACTACCAATCCTCTTGAGTTATAAAAATCAGCTTACTCCCTGATTCTCAACCCCAGGTGACGTGTATCAATTGAATCCCGGTTATTCAAAACCACGAACATTGCAGAGGTGGATGAATCCGTGATCAGCTTCAAAACGCAGCTCCCGAAGTAGTTTTTATTTGACCAGTGATTTTTCTGTTGTTGAAGCATGATGGTTTTCCGAGAAAATCTTGGCTGATCATCACGTAAAACACCATCCGTTTGAAGTTTTATACCATCACTCATTGTCATTTTTCTGCTTGGCTTGGTAAGGTACACATTCAGTAGGTTTTCAAGGTGACTCCTATGCTTCCCACGCTTAATGTAGAAGATTCACAAGACGGCCGATTTAGTAACAAAGTTGAAATGCCTCGCCGTTTCGCTATTTCTGATAGTCGATAATATCTGCTAATATTCAATTCCGTCAACGTTTGGGCCTCCAGATCGTGGTTGGCTAACAGGAAACTTCGCCTGAATATCATCCAAGTGACTGTCATTCATTTCAGATCGCAGGAAGCATGTTTGCGTCCGTCATGAATATGGTACCCATCCCTGGGAACCGTGAGAACCAGGCTTTCGTTATCAGTGGGGCCATGTGCATTTTGTGTAAGTTCACATTATCATCCAAATCACATGCATCGTGCTGCTTATAGTGACTTTTGGTGACCTCTAATATCGCCGCGAAGAAGACTTCCGTTACCCACCATTGACTTAAATTCCACCTGTCTACCGTGTCCTTAATCGCCTTATATGATCTCATGCAAATGTTTAATCGCGTACAAGTTATAACTGTGTTTTTCAGCGATGAATTTAGAGAACCTGGCTAGTTGCGATATTCCATGATCGTTCAGCTAACTGATTTGCGGATGAGGCTCGGTGGTAGTCTCCTATAAGTATCTAGTTACATCTTGTTAGAACATTCCCAATACTATAAACATCCAACGTTTAAATCCTCAACGACGGATTTTGAACGTTACTGATTCTCTCAAGCGCATTATTTTTCATCCGTATGGTCTTTTTCAGCGCTCATAATCGTGTTCTTCATTGAGGATAAGAAGACCCCTAGCCAGTGTCAGTTCATCAACTTACCACTTCGGCTGCGACGAAGATTTTCCAAACGGCCGATTGCAAAATCCCCCGATGAAGCTAATGGAGCCAACAAAGATAAACCTGTCGCGGCCTAGATTTTCCTCTCAATTAATTGTCAAACACCCGTTAGTGTTAGTCCGCCTACGTAAAATCACAAGTTCCCCGGAATTCTCTATTTTCACAACTTTTCTCCAAGTTCTATAAAGGCTTAATTATAAGGCCTTCAACTTTTTCGTTTCATTTGGGGTGCTATTCGTTTACTGTGCTCATTCACAAGTTTAGCCTACTTACACTCAGATGTCCTATTCGTCCCTATTAGTATAAGGCCTCTTAAGTAAGTCCAGAACACCCGTTATTATTTTGAGATGTTCCTGCATGGACAAGCTCACAATCCCGAACGCCCCTCTGACCAGCAGACATTCGAGGTGTGTACTATCATAAATACGTTTTTAACCAAACACTTATTCTCCGGAAGGTCCAAACCACGCCTCAGAATGAAAGTAAAAAGTAATCAAAATTATATTTTGGAGTCATTGAGATTTTTACGTGCATCACACTGGCCTCCATCGATACCTAACGCAAGACAGTTTCCTAGCTTTTCATTTAGAAAAACCTCGGTGGATTATATGTAGAACAAACGACTTCTTGCAGAACGCTTTTGCCTGATGTATCTGCCCATTTCTCGCAAGCAGTATGACGATGTTCTTGGATGCTCGATGACTAGTGTTGGTGTGTGCTTCAAAAACCTCATTAATGACATTGACCAAAGAGAATTTACAGTGGACCAGGCCTGCTTGCTCACGCCGAAAACAAAAACAATGGACGTTTTGGCTTTTGAGACCATGTTGGCAAACCATACTGAGTCCATTTTGGTGAAGAACACCACTAGGACTGCTTCCCATCTATCTCTTGAATGCGCCTGTGTACCAGGTGCTAATGAGATATTCAAAATTCCTTAGCCATTACCAGGTTATCGTAAAGTTATCTGCTATTCTTCAAAATCTAAATGGTCTTTCCAATAATCTGGGTTACTCAAAATGAATATTTATTTCTCTATCCAACGCACCCAGAGTGAATATCCCTAAGATATCGCAATCGTGAAATCCAGAGAAACTCGGGTTTTATAAACACTGCCAGACTTTTGGACCAATTGTATAATATCTGTTGTGAGCAGATCGTGAGAAGTGGTCTGTAACTGAAGTGCAAAACTTTGAAGTGGCTGTCAACCTATATGACCATCTGAATGTCAAATAGTGTCTGAACCATCGGTCCTAGTTTAGGAAATTATAACTAACCGCATAACCTTGATCAAACTAGGTGTCTATCAAGAATCTACAAGTGCATATCTGTGCCTCATTCTTTATAATCGCTTACTTGCGCGAACAATAAAAACGATTCGAAAAAATCACCAAGAAATCATACAGTGATTAAGTAACACAAAGGCTGCAAAACGACTGTTGTGACCGCTCCCTGAAAGCGGCAGTGTCCCGTACCTTTAATGCCGCACTTTGCATCTTTCTACAAGACTCGTCTATTTATGCCTTTGCCGAGAAACACAAGGAGATGTTCATCCCACACAATACTGTATACATGCCAGTCGCCTAAACTGTTTAGGGATTCAAGTCACACGTGAAACGGTCGCGCGCTGAAGCCCTAAGTATCAACACAAGACCGCACTACTTCAACCAGGGTGATGGCGCTAGCATCCCGTCTATTGCCTTGGACTTACAGCATATTGTAGTAGCCAGCCTAATTTCAAGCCGGGATCTCAAAAATAACACATCACAGCCAGCAAAACAACAGTCGGGGCATATCCTAATCAAACCACACACACGGAGCTATTACACACAAACGCGTTGGCCGCGCATGATTGCCAACTGACATCAATCAAAAGACAGGATAGCGGACCCAAGTGGCCCTGCATTTGACTCGTATTTATTTTATTGGAGATTTCATTGAAACCGACTGCCTACGGTAACCGAAGCGTCGGATAGTAACGTCTAATTCAACTTCGCTGCTTTCACTATCCGAACCGATTCAGGTCTGGGAAGCCTAAGGTGATTTACAGTCTAGCAAATCTGCTGCAAAAGTTTTTGCGACAAAAGTGTTAATATCAAGAAAGTGGGTCGACAGAGGTTCTAACCTCGTAAACGGTGAATGAACGTCGTACGCAAACCTGCGCGCCAGACGCCTGATGGCCATATATCCCAACTCTACCTCTGGTACTGTGGTGCACGGATTGATTAAGCATTTCGAAATATCACTTCATGAGAATGAGCCTGATTTCCTCCCTGTTCAAAACATATCCTGATCTTATTCTTATCCTAAGACAGAGTGTCGCCGTTTTCGGTGTTTAAAGTGTTCCTTTGGTCCGAAAGATGCTTGTGAATGTATAAATCGCCGGAATACGTGGCTGTTTCAACCAAATTCTGATCTCTGACTGTGGTACGGTACATTCTATCCCGTAGACCTATACTAGTCCACGGTAAGCCTTCGTCTATGGTCCACGGCCACTAGTGACGGTAGAGAGTGATAATGCCGATAATTTTCTACAACTTTATCAATAGTATAATGGCAAAAAGTTATTTGCCTACGCTCAGACCATGAACCATTGAATGTTACTACTCTTCTCGGATCAAGCCCATCATGAGTTCTAATTTCCGGTAACCCGACTACATCTACTGTACGAACTAACATTGAGTTGACTTTCTGTGTTTTTGCTATACTGGGTACGACCATTGTTTTGGTAGATAAATTCGCTTGCCTAAACAACTGCGTGAGTCGTGGACTTAAGTAAGGCTAATCTGGATGGGAAAGTCAAAAGTTTCCACTGTTAGCTTGTGACCTATGAAGCTCTCGTGGTGTCAGTTTGCTTGATAACGACGAGTTACATCCTGCGGCATTGCGGTTTCTATTGTTTTATAAATCAGAGACATGGTTCCTGTGCTTAAAACCACCTATGTATTCAACCACCAGTTTTTCCTATGCACCGCCTGTTCGTTAAAAACACCAGATCAGCATCTCTGTGGTAATTCGCATAGTTTTTCAAAGAGACCTAGACTTAACTTTGCACTGGTATGGCCATAAATTTCGCATAGTAGAGGCCGTCTAACTGGTAGACTTCTTCTATTCTCAGCCTTATGTTGAGCACGGGAAAACAAACACAAGTTGGGAACTTCTGACCAGAAAAATTTAACTGGTCAGCCGCTCCCTCCTGGATGGTGAGCACCGACCCTGAAGTTGACAGCTGGTGCCACGGATACGGAAGAAAATGTACCAAAGATGTCACTTTTGGTGCGTAGGTATCTCACCTGCTACCTCACCAGAACAGTCCAATACAAGCAATCCAGTTTTCCAAAGAACCACCAAACTAGCTTTTCGCAGCTGAAAATAACGTACAGTTGGTACGTGTTTCATTGGTAATTAGTAGTACATTATACAAGGGAACATAGTCCTGGAATTTTCTCAAAGAAACACAAAACAGCCTACGGATTACAACAGAACATCAATTCTTAAGCAAGAAATTGAATTTTTCTTTACTCTCATACATCTCTCGAATATACTGCCGAATTTGTATTGCTAGCCGATTGCGTCTCGCTAACTGAAGGCGCTTTGGCCGGTTAATACATCACCAGGGTGACCGATTTCAGTTTATATGACAAAACATTTGACTGATGTGTATTTCACCGGGAAAAATTCTTTTTGCTTCGGATACAAACAGGAATTATTTTTCCAGGACTGAGGTTAGATCAACAAACAGTGTTGAGGATATTCACTATAAATTGTCCCGTTTGTCTTAGAACATTAGTCACCCTGCAGTCATACTATCGATCCTAACATTTTCACTGTAAACGACAGGATGGAAACGCTTCCATTATTAACCGTCTTAAACATTTCCTTCAGCTCCCCTTAAAGTTTTGAGTGAAACCACAAGTTAATGGCCTTCTGTAAAAGCTAGTAAAGCACTTCAAGGCATAATCAGTTAAGTTTCTGTCATGAAACTCCATTGAAGATCGTAATGACTGGATTCGCCTGGAGTCCACCGAAACTAGGAGATCCGAATACTGCATAGCTGAGAGATGAACCCTGATGTGTCAGATTTGTGCACAAGAGAGTGCTAACTGTACTTTTGTGGGCCAGCGGCTTTTTATGGTTGTGCAAAACTGGTGGTGAGAATCCCATTGGATTCACGCTTCCTGGATGGCCCCAAATCGTTCACTTTAGCTTCTTGTGTCTCAGAATACTACACACTGATTTCTCTCATCATGTATGTGGACAGTAGAATAATTTTTCTTTCTTACTATTTGCTTTTGCCCTGGCAAGCCAACTGTAATATTTTCTACGTAACCACTGAACTTCATCATTCCGCTTCAAACGCGCAACAGGGTTGGCATCCTTTTCAAAGTTTATCCGTTACACTGAAATATACAAAATCTCATCCAACGGAGCCAGATGGCCCAGTCATTAGAGTGTGAATTTAGTAATCGGAAGGTCCATCGTTCGAACCCAACCTCTGCCTCTCGACTTCCCCTGCCTAGGCTTGGGCAACTTGGTAGTATGCCAGCCTCCTAGCGGCATAGCAGTTAAGTACCGAAAGAATGCTACGGCTGAAGGTTTTCCTCTTTTAAGACTAGTACGCAAAGCTAAAAGCGGCTTGTGGTTTTTCTAGCTAGAAATCCTAGTAGCCCGTTTTAAGTTTGATGATATGGAGAAGAAGTGAAGCAAGATTCCGAAGCAAGATGCAAAGATCGAAAATCAGTGGTAGCAGAAATACTGTGACGAAAGACAAACAGTTGTGTTTCAGAATCTGCAGCTCCATTCTTTGTAATTTCGTCCGATATTAGACCAACACTCCAAATCACATTCACGCGTCCATGATATTTCGTACCATAAAGCATTCACACGTTTCAGTATCTGTATGAATCAAGCTATCAACACCGTTTGACGCGATCCATATATTAATATTATCAGGTATAATAATTGCTTGGTTCTTCTGAACGTTTTGGAGCATTTTTCACCTCACTCTCCAGGTTCCTTACTTACCTCAGCTAGTCTTCCCTTGCGATGATGAGGGCGCGTGTTGCGCTATCAGTCCCGTACTTTTGGAGGGTGGAATAAGTGAATTTTACAGATAAAAATATTACCCGAAAGCAATTGTTGAGCTTTGACTAGGTTGGGATAGATAAAACAGTCAGCGGAAATCATTGTG